AGTAATTGCAGATACTGAAACTACACAGAAAACAAGAAAGACATCTCTACAAAGGTAACCTTTTTTGTCAGAAATCTAAATAATGGGTAAAGTCAAGTCATGTAGATATTTGAGTTAAATACAAAAGAAAGAACATTGGAACAAAAGGGGACAATGGGCAAAGGACTTGCAAGAGCATTGGTCAGTCTGAGGAATAGCAAGGACAATGATGCTAGAAGTGAAAGTAATGAGAGAGGAGGACAGCATTTTTCCATGAAAGTACTGATAAGGCATTTGGATTTCATTGTGAATATGAAGAGAAGACACTGATTTTTCAGAAAGATTATTCTAACAGCAAAAGAAATGATAGGGGAGCAAGAAAGACCAGTTAAGAGACTATTGCAGTAGTAGCATAGGGTTTCAAAAACAGTGAATTTAGAACTAGAGTATTAACAGTGATCTGAACTAGAGGGGATTCCTTCTAGTATCTGGGAAGGCATTTATCAGCCTATAAACAGGTTAGTGTCTTAATCCTTGGACTGAGATAACCATAGAGGAAAGGGGAGAATATAGAGAACAAACTGGCTTAGGGCTGAGTCCTCCCTCACTTCGATATTAACTGTTTGGAGAGAACTGTGAGGAAAGGGAAACTACCAGTATGTATGAACAATATTTGTAGTCAGGTTTTCCTAGTTTCTTTTTCTAAGGACCAGAGGAAATCAGGTTAAAGTTTGTTTCCATGCAGTCATATTTTTGACTATATAGAAAATAACAAAATGATACATATGTCAGAAATAAAAGATTTCTATTTAAATGGGCAGAACTCAATAAATTAATATGCAGTGAAGTCTTTATATATTCAACATCAAACCATGAATATCTAAAAATAAATTATTTCACAAGATTTGTATAGTTTTCAACAAATAAAGATCTATAAACTGATAAAACCTGAAAGCATATAAATTATACAAGGAGTTTTACTGTAATATTAACTGTAATATGATCTGACTGCATTTGTTTTATTATCTGATACTATCACTATGTTAGAAACTACAATCCAGGAAGAATAAAAACAGAGTTAAAACTGACCTATGGCCCTCCCTGGTGGCGCAGCGGGTTAAAGCACTGCACTAAGAAACTAAAGCCACTTCCGCATGAGTTCGATTCCCGCCTGCCCCGGAGG